TCAACCGCGGAGATGCGTCCTTATTACATTCGTCGGAAATACTGCAAGTCAGCAAATAAATTCGCCGGAATCTCAATTTTGTTGCTTGACTGATTAAACGGATGTTATTTTCAGTTTACGCGAACGTGTCCGGTCTATTTTTGTTGTCGAAACATTCTCACTTGCACTCTTGATATGCTTCATTGCTATGTGGCCGAATATGCGGGACTATCTTTTGCGTGATTTTAAGGTTGGAATATGAAAACCGTCTATAGTCAATATTTATGTAGGTCAGATATTTCTCTTGGCGGAGAATCTTCATTAGACATCGTTATAGTTACCCTCTTAAGCATATTTGACAAGCTTGATTAATAATGAAATCTTTTTCAAATTCTGTCCACCGTTGATAGGAACAAGTATGGTTTAGCATTTTTGAAACTTATTTCTCAAAGCTGGTCCTATAATAAAATAAAATGACGAGATGAAATTAATAAAATTGTAATGAAGAAATAAGATAAAGGAATTAATAAAATTATTTTATATGGAAGGAAAGATTAAAGAGATGTATTGTTAGAGACGTATTTCTGATCAAGTACTTTGTGGAGGTACTTTTTGTTTAAGAATGTACACACACACACACACACACACACACACACACACACACACACACACACACACACACACACACACACACACATATATATATGCATATAAAAATATGTATTTGATATGAGAATTGTAGCGCAAGGTGCAATACTGTGTCTCGCTATGCTTACACGCGTTCGGCATAAATTTTATAAACACGTGAAGTAGTAAATGACACGACGGCGCTGCGTGACTGCCAATGGAGGTCACTTTATACATTCACTATGAGACTCGTGCAACAAATAGAGAGTCGCTGTATCTTAAAAAGAACTGTTTTGAGAATATTCACCGGGTGTTCTGCACGCACGGATCATATTGCACGTAACACGGTGCACAGTTTCATATTTGCCATACGCGAAACAATATCGTCTATTTTATTAACATGGCATTTTATTCTTATATTCAGGTGACAATATCGAGACAAAGAAAATTGTGACATCTTGGCGCAAACTCGTATATTTCTTTCTAAATTTTTTTAGAATGAAATCTTTTTCAAAACGAGTGAAAATTCACTCCAATTCACTTTAGTCGATAATATTGCCACTCGGAATAGTGACATTTTAATTTTTATAAAGATGAATGTTCAACTCTAATCATTATGAATGTTTCATTTGTTTGAAATGAAACATCAATTTAATGCCCGTATATTCATAATGAAGCCTTATTTTTATAAGATTTTTAAAAATTTATCTTTACGAATTATTTTATTAGGAGCTACTGAGCATCCAAAGATAAATTTAAAGAGCCTTAAATAAGGTCTGACTGTGAATATAGGCATAAATGACTTTCATATAAGATCAGTATCTCGATTCTGTAATTCTCTCTTAATGACAATTCGGCATTGTTACATTATCGTTGCGCAACTTTTTTATCATATATAATATCGAAGTATTGGAGTCTTAAACTAAAAAAATATTTAATTTTAATATCAGTGTTACTACAGATCTGGAAAACCGGGAAAAGTCGGGGGAAAATGTAAAAAAAATCTAGAATTTCGAAATTTGCTCATAATTTCCTTAAACTCCTATTTCAAATAATTATTATAATTTTTTAAATATTATATCTGACGTTTATAGTTCAAAACTTGCGCACTTTAAATAATTTTAACAAAATAATTCAAATTTATATTTTATTCAGTATTTTTATTTGATCCCTCTTTTTCGTCGTAATTCTTTTTTTCGAAACTAATTAATTTTTTGTTGGCTTAAATTTGCACCCAAAATTTTATTATGCTTAAGCTTTTTTTGCGTTTTTAATAATGTAGTTTTCCTGCAATCTTTGAGTCTAAATGTTTAAATTTACATATTTTATATTAGTCATGGAAAATTTTCCATTTTCATTTGAAAAACCTGGAAAAGTCAGGGAATTTTAAAATTCATTTTCTGGTGGTAACCCTGAGTATGCATAGATTCTTATCAGCGTTTACTTTAAAAAAAAAACAGTCAACATTTTTATATCAGCTATAATATATCGATAAATTTAAAAATTGAAACGTTATAATCGACTTAACAAAACAACGTTGGTACAACGATGAGATGATGATTAGTATGATTTGATTACTGAATTTTTTCTTGCTTGACGCATGCATTACTTCCAATTGTTATATTGACATATAGATTCACTCTAATTACGAGTGAAAGTAGTCACAGACACAGAATGGAAAAATTTACTTTACACGAATGAAAAGTTATTCCATCTTGAGCAATTCAGTAATCGTTTCATTTTTCAAATGAATTTTACTCCAAGAACTTTAGAGAGTATGAAGTTGATCAATTTATGGAGTTTATTTTTTCTTCATCCAATTTATTCAAGTATCAATACTTGAATATAATTTTCATGAGTTGAACTTTAAGAAGACAGACTTTAAGAAGACTTTAATAAGACAACGATAAGACGAAACTTTTCACTTATTGCTAGCTTCAAAGAATTTCTACAGCTTCAATCAAATTTCCAATTTTAGATTAATCGTGAAGACATAAAATTGAATATTGAATATTGAAAAAGTACGGTAAAGAATAGATTGTGCTCGTTTAAAATGTTATATGATGAATTTTCATACATGGAGCTTTTCTGTCATCAATATCAAGAAAAGAAGATCGATTTGGCGCAAACTTGTGCATTGTAAAGTTGACCAAGAAGTTTGACCCGTTTGTTTTCCCTTCATCGAGTCTAGATATCGACGATACTATATAACGATTGAACATGCTTCTCACGAGTTAAGCTTTAGAGAGGCATTAAACGATAAGACTAAACTTCTCACTTATAGCGAATTCGATTGAATGCACTAGTGCGCATTCAATGTACATTAAAGTCAATGCACATTAAAGTCATTGTACACAAATTGACGTAAAGATATATATTTTATATAAAGTTAAAAAATGGATTGAATCGCGAAATACACTATTGTTATGTGATAAAATATGTATTTTATAACTCGAAATATTTGTTTTTGATTTGAATTAGAGATCAGTGTACGGTTTTAATACGCATCAACCGAATTCTCTGTTAACTTTAAAGAATACCTGTTTTAATGTTTGATTTCGATTTTAGGATTATTCGTGATGGTAATAAAAAATTGAAGATTGAAATGTTCCGTAAACAATGAACTCTCCTTCTATTTGAATCATTAACATTTAATATGATATATATGCCTACATAAAGTCTCTATTCATGAAAAGTTTCTTGCTTATTTAATCTTTCACACTCACATCTAAACCCCAACATCGAAAAAAAATTAATCGTGGTAACTGGCGCAAAATTTATATATTATAAAGTTGACCAATTAAGAGTTTATTTATAGAATCTGTCTAAGCGTCGACTTAGAGATTGAATATGTTTCTCGCGAGTAAAGCTTTGGAAAAGCAGCTAAACGGGATGAAACTAAACTTCTCACTTAGCTTCAAAGTATCTTTTATACTTCAATCAAATTTCCATTTTAGATCCAGTTGTGAAGGCGTAAATTTGAAATATTACGATGAAACAATGGATTCTCTCTTTACGCATTAAAATTTCATATGACGAGTCTTTACATACATATGGCTCTTCTGCGTAGCTAATAATATACTGAACACGTTGGTACATACATTTCGCGACATCGATTCGGAGATCCATTATTATACTGTGTAACGATATAGTGCGAAGTCTTACTTTCATCTATCAGCCATGACATTCGCACGTTAGCTTCCGACATACGCCAATACGTGTGTATATATATACGTGTTGGCGCGTAACATATATTTCAGTTTCCACATATGACATTAGGATGTTATCGACAGTGCGGAGTTGTCACGGGGAACGGCCGGAACAATTGAGCTACTTCGCTTAATTGCCGGCCGATCCGTCCGTCCGCAAATGGAATGAAATGGAATATGGAGCATATATCGTGGTCACAATCGATACGCGGTTTTACATACGCTACCCGCGCGCTCTTTAGCGCAACATGCTCGTACGCCGCGCGGGTATACGCGCGAGCGGAGCGCGAAGTTGGGCGTGTGAACTCAGCCGAATTGAACTATATTGAACTCACGATGGGATTGCGCGGATGAGCAAGTTTAAATTATCCCTCATGAGAATCGCACACTCTTGGCGAATCTCTCAGTTTCCAGCTAACCGGCTGTGGCCGGTGAAGGTGAACATCGTTCTCTAGGGTATGCGGAATGATAACGGTGACGCTCCTTCGAGATCGACGCCAAGATTTTCCCGTTTTATCCTCGTGTCTCCTCGCGTCTCTCTATCCGTTATTGATTGTGGATGCAGGTATTAATTACGCAGTAAGACCGGCTTGTCGTCACTACGACGATATACATTTAATTTTTCCCGTAAACAGCGCATAATCTGAAATTAAGTGTAAAATTGTAAAAATAATACTAGCATTTTTTTTTAGTCTATAGCCTCTTCTATCCTATAAATAAGATTTTATAATAGTAACAGTTATAAAATAGAATTTTCGTCGCTGACAATTCGATTTAAAATTAAAAAAATTTTTAATAAATGGAAATTCACTATTTTTTAAATGTATTTTTATAGTTTTGATTTTGAATTTTTCTTTTTATTTTTCTATCAAAAATATATGTCTATTTAAATTAGAACTTTTATTCTATTCCGATAAAGTTTGGGCTGCAATGTAAATCAAAGGCATTAAACCTTTAAAAAGACATTAGCTTTTAAAAAGTTTATTTAAAATTAGATTTAAAACATTAGAGATTTAAAACGTTAAACTTTTAACCGTCTTGATTGCATTAGCATTAGAATGCTCGACGGGGAGCTTCGTTAAAGGGAAGCTCTTGATAAATCACTGTCTTCTTTACAGGTGATTTCCATCTCCTGGAGGATGTAAATGCGCGTAATCTCGTCGGACGGGCTCCATCCCACCCGCCCTTTTCGAACTTCAATGAGGATCTAGGATAGGATAGGCTTGCATCCTCGAATTATTGGTAAGTCGTGCCAACATGTTGTTCAACATCCGCTCGATATCGTCTTTTAATCGCATTTATCCCTATTCGTAAATGCGATTTCCGATTTCCATTGCTTCTTAATCGGAAGCAGCGAATTCCGCAATTCAAGGAATCATAAATCATGAGCTGCATATAACGTCTTTGCGAGATTTATGAGATCTTGCGCGTCGGTTTAACATGAGAGAGAAATGGCGATTCATAAAAACAAACTCTGACGTGATAAAATATCTTCTCAATATGAAGATTAAAAAAATATAAATATCATTTTGGACGATATAGTATGCGTTGTAGGCACTTATTTGAGAATTAGACCAAGCTTAGCGCGCGAATCGCTGAATGCAATTTTTAGAGTGTGACATTTTCAATGGGAGCGATTTTCTACTTGAACGCGTATACGCGGCCGGAAATGTCGTCGTCGTTAATATAAATTTTATCCTAAATACACAGAAAATGACTGTGCGTGATTCATTGTTCGCTAGTGCGGAAATAGAACTAAATTTTGCTACTGGAAATCGATATTATCGATCGTATATTTCCCCTTGGCTAATGTAGGCAGATATATGATAGACTATATATAGATTGCATATAGATTACATGAAGAAGGGTGACATTCTACTTTCTCTTTCACTTATTCTCTCTCTCTCTCTCTCTCTCTCTTTGTTTATATATTCAGAGAAACAGATTTTGACATTTGTTTCATAGATTAAATTAAATAATTTCCTAAAGGAGCACATTCTAAATGCCGAACCGAATTTAAAGTTGTTTTACAACAACTTATTATATTTTTTGTGTCTGAAGAACGCATATATCTTATGTTCTTTAATCTTAAGCCTGTGTTTGTATATTGTATAAAGACACTCATCTGTTTTATTTTGTTTCTTTTATTTTATTTTTTTTAGTTTCTCATTACGTATTTTATATGTTACGTGAGAAAATAAAAGATTCCAACTTATCTTTATATCTCTTTAACATTTGATGCTAATTTAGAAAGATATTCTGTTGTACCAACAAACAAATTGAATTTTGATTATATGAACGGAATTCTGGTTATCTTCGTTAGAATGTTAGATAGATTTAACTAGAAGTCCGATTTATATTATATCTTTTGAATTGAATCTATTAAAATTAATATCAAGATTTCTTTCCAATGTAATATCTCTCTACTTTGCCGCAAAAATAATTTTAAGGTCTAATTAATCTAGTGAACGTGACTTTACAATTAGAAACCACAGGCATAATTCCACTTTGATGCAGGTACCATCAATTTCAAACATCTCCGATAATCCTAATGAAGGAGAGAATGTCCTTCGGAATTAAGGATACTAATATACCGATATAGATGTTTGTACAAGCAATTTGCAAATTCTTTGAATATTATAGTCCCTGACCTTTAGAAAATAATAGTTAATTAAGTATATATAAATAATAAATTTATAGTTAGAGTCTCTATTAATATATCTATACATTGTCCTGCAGAAATTATTTTAAATGATAAATTATCTTTTAAATTAAAAAAATTGTTTGGATAGGTATATTGGACACAATTTTGCACACGTATTACTTTTCACGAATAATCAAATATATGTGTTGTAACAGAATTGATATACAAGACTGAATATTTCTGAAATAATTCTGTAAAGGTTCCCATATTACATGTACATAGATATATGTAAAGTGATCGGACTTTATTAGCTTACCTAAGTCGTGTAATTTTTTTTTCTAATTTTGTGCTGAGTCCAAAATTGAAAACTGATAGATTCAAAAGAGGAAATATTTGAATATTAAAAAAAATATGAGACATTTTCAAATTGGATAATATTTTTTTTAATATTCAAATATTTCCTCTTTTGAATCTATCAATTTATTCACAAGGTATTTTCAAATGTTATAACGAAAATATAACTTAAATATATATAATATAACTTAAATATGTTTTTGTAATATAAAGTATAAATATATAAATATATACATACAATATAATGAATTATGAAAATGAATAACCATCTCTTGATAATTATAGAAAGCAATTACTTACGTACGAAATATTACATTACAACCACAATGTTCAGTATTTTGTTTTACTGATAATAACGTAATGAACAAATAAACTGATGGGAATCAGACAGATAATCTGCATGAATTACTAATGTTGTCTGTTAAATTCACCCACAAATGTAATTACTCACAAATAGCGTAGGTCATATTGCTTATTAAACCATATAGACCAAAGTCCGATTATATGTATAAACCTTATATGTGTAAATTATCTAAATTTTCACGGTTGAATTTTCTTTCTCTCTCTCTCTCTCTCTCTCTCTCTCTCTCTCTCTCTCTCTCTCTCTCTCTTTGCTTTAGTATCACGTTTGCGCTATCAGTCCTAAATCACAGGGAACATCCGTTCGTTGTTAAGGACATGAGGGAAGCCACATATGCGCGAAAGTCTGAGTCGTAACTTTCAACAGCGATGAAATATCTCTTGTGAGATGATCTACTGTGCATTCGCCGTCTCGTGCGAGATCGAACCACCGCATCCTCCACTGCGTCCCGTTGCAATTTGAACGCGCACGGCTCCTTCCGACTGCATCGGAATCTGAGGAAAAATCGCGTGATATTTTTATATCGGGAAATCACTGATTTTACGGTTGTTGCTACAAATTATCTGGGCAATTTCAAGAGGATATGTATTTTCGAAAGTGATTTGTTCATCGCGTAATTCGATTCCAACAAAACTAGTTTGCTGAGCTTTCATATCAGCGGAAGTCATTCTGTCATTCTGTTAATGGAATAGTTAATAAATTAAAAAGTATGTTAACTAAAACACAATTTTTCTTTTTGTTTAAGTTATATATTTAATTTTTTGCTATATTATATTATATTAGATAATCGTTTTTGTTTCGCCGAATCATTAAATTTACAAGCAGGACTTGATAAAATAATTGATACGACTTATTTAAAATAAAAAATAAATATATTCTGAAAAAACTTCTCGATAAAAATTTATTATGCATGTATCAATGTATCAATGTTATGCATGTATCATATATGCATGAATATGTATCAACATACATAAACATGTATAAATATTTATAAATGCATAATTTTATATGAAATATGTCCATATAACATGGTTACACATCTTTCTTTTGTAAAATTACTTTTAATAGAAATATAGGTAATAATAATAATGTGAAAATATTAAAAATAATTAAAAGGGTAATTTTCGCACGTTTTAGAAAATATCAAATTTGAAAAAAATGTAAAATAATTATGTACAATTATATAAAATTATAATTATGTGTGAGCAATTTTTTTTACATTTCTTCCAAACTTGTTTTTTTTTCTAATATAAAAATTATCTCTTTAATTTTAAAAATTATCTTTTTATTTTTAAATTATGTTTTCACATGAGTATTATTATTTCTAACTAAAAAGTAATTTCGTTAAAGATAGAAGGATGTATGAACATATTTCATATATAATTATACACGTTTGTGAATATTTATACGTGTTTATGCATATTTATACATATTTATACACATTTATGTATGAACAATTTTTTAATA